AACCAATCAGAGCAGAGCATGCTCTGAAGATTGAAATTACTACTCTGAAAATATGTCAGTTACAATGAATAATAGTTGACATAATCACTGCTTGCGAATATCCTCTTCTTTTGGAAATCTGTTAATAACAAAAATAATTAAATTTATAAGTTGCAAGAAAATTATTTTTTACGCATTTTTTGGTACAAAATCTAACCTACGTTTCATTACATAATACAAATAGAAACAAAATATTACACTTATACTTACGCATAATAAGAAACCGATTTATCACAATTGCTGCACAAAACACAATAAACGCAGGACATTTTTTAAAATAAAATGCAAAACTATATTCAAATAAACTGTTGACAAGGCCACAACTCATAATGAACGGGATTTTACATGTTAAATTCAGTTCAACGCATGCGCACAGAAAACGATTAGGAATTTATACCTTTCTCTCTCGCACAGATCTTGGATACACTTTTGGTCTATAGGCGGCATAGGCAATTCCTCCTCCATGTATATATGCTCTAAGGGTGCAAACCCATGCAGCGGAATAGCGTAACGCGGAACAAGAGTAGAACCAATCACGAGTTTCTTTAGAAACACGGAATGCTCGTTATTAGTTCTGCTCTCGTTCCGCGTTACGCTATTCCGCTGCATGGGTTTGCACCCTAAGGGCGCGTTCACACCTTGACGGAAAAGCAGAATGCGGAAAAGCCAATCAAGTAGTCGACTTTCTCTTAGATTTGTACTTTTTACTACCAGGGCGAGTTCTGATCGGTTAACTGCTCTTCCGCTTTCCACTTTTCCGTCAAGGTGTGAACCCGCCCTAAGGGTTTCCCAGTGCCAAGGGTTGCTCTTTCAGTTCCTTATTCTTTCTTTCAATCCCTTCTCTCAGAGTATACGGCTATACGCATGCGCGAAACGAGAGAGAACGAAACAGTTCCAAACATGGTGGATGTATACTTCCACCATGGTTCCAAATGAGTGCGTCCTTTTCTAGATAGAATTACCCCCACTCCTCAAATTTCCGACAATGCGACTCTAGTACTACTATCTCTATGGTCAGTACTGGTTATGTCAGGTTAAGATGTATTTTTACCGCGTTTCGCTGTCACGATGTGTTAGCAAGTAATGATTGATTTTTGTTGTATTTTTATCGTTGTATTATGTTGGCAGGCTAAGCTGTAAGAAACTAAGCTTAATGAGGAAGCAGCAGCTTGATATCTGCTGTAACGTCATGATCAAGTTTGCTGGCATACTGCTAGCATTTTGCTATCCAGGTTCTAGCAGCTTAGCCTGCCAACATAATACAACGATAAAAATACAACAAAAATCAATCATTATTTGCTAACACATCGTGACAGCGAAACGCAGTAAAAATACAGCACAACCTGACATAACTAGTACTGACAGCAAAAACGCAGCAAAAATCGCGCATAGACTGCCGAAAAAAAAAGTTACAACAATTTTTAATTTAATTAAATTCTTATTTTAATTAGATTTCTTTCTCCATCATTTGTGTCCTCTCCTTAAATGCTGAACTGACTAATAACTTGGGAAAAAACTTTTAAACCTGATAGGATTTGGAACTCGTGACTCCTCGATCCACGGTCCAGTTCTGAGTCGTTCACCTAACGTACTCTGCTCCACTGTTACCTTATTGACAGAGATGTTTCGAATTATCTATATATACTTTTAATAAAAATATTTTATAAATAGATAATTTAATATTTAATTTTATATAAATAGACAGATTATGCATGATTTTTGCTGCGTCTTCGCCATCAATGGCTGATAGGGCAGATCACGTTCTATTTTATATCAAGTTTTGATCTATTCTTTGTTAATTTATTTTGTCAGCATGTATTGCTCGATTTCTGCTTGCTTTATTTCGGCAAAGTTTGATGAATTTTTACAGAATTTTTGCTAGTGTATTATGACGCAGTCTGCTCTATTTATGTTGTATTTCTGTTATGGCTATACTGAAACGGTAAACCGTGTTCGACTGCTGCTCGATTTTTGCCATAATAATATGTAGCGTAAATTTGCAATGCGTGCTTTTGGTGGGTTTGGCTATCTGGGTTAGTGTTTGCTGGGATATATGTTATACGATAATTTTGATGGTGACACTTTGATTAATCAAGATATATTTCATCTTTACGATATAATGCGTCTTTTATTAGAAATATATAATACATTCTTTATAATAATTTTGTTTGAAAAAATACATTATTTATATATATATATATTCCCCTATAGTTGCGAGTGTGCCGTATATATGTTTCTGTATATGTAATTTCTATATAATACATATTATACGCTTATCATAATACGTTTATCACGATCTTATTACGCAAATTTTTCTTAATTATTGCATAAAAAAACATAAACATTAAAGAATATATAATGTTTAAAAAAAATATAAGAAAATTTCTCGATAGCAATTTATCATGAAATTTTGAAGGAAAATATAAAAACAATAAGAACCGTACGGTCTGAAGCAAGTGAAAAAGAATGCATATATGATTTACACATTGCATATCAAAACGGAATCGAATTTTTACATAAGACCTACATATAAGTATACGAATAAACAAAATTCGCTTAGTATCGATATGTCTCAATCACGTGAATAAAAAAATTTACATCATCATTAGATTAAATTAATCAACAAAAAATAGAGTTTCGATGTAAAAAAAAAGTGTAATTTAAAACAATTAAATTAATGTAATTAAATAAAAACAATTTTTTCTTTGAACAAGTCTTGGAATGTTCGGAAAGAATAATGTTTATGTATCCGTTTAATAAGATTTTGGTTTCAGTTATCAATATTATTGCGAGTAATGAAGAGTAGCACGCAAATAAATAGAAGAGAAACAGAACAAAAATGGAAAATAATTAAAAAACACAGTAACTACGTGTGAAATTCGTCAAAATAAATCTGGCACTCTATTTTATTATATATATAAAGATATACCATAACACTTTACTTAATTATTAAATTTTACTTCGCTAATTATATAAATGTACAGTGTATGTACGTAAGACTGTGAGGAAAATTATACATTGAAAAAGAGTAAGTATAAATGTGTGTTGAAAAAATTTAACTCGAAGAATATGCAAACAACTATTGAGAAATAATAAAAATAATAATAGAAATAATAGAAAATCATACTTTTATTTTATTTGATAATTATTTGTTAGTCTCAAATTAGATTGTTAGTATCTTGAAAATTTTGAAAAAAATTTCTCTAAAACCCGTTATACATTATGTATATCTATATATACATGAATACATGTATATACGTGTACATATAAATTGTCTAATTTAATGATTGCAGCAATAATTCGGAATTTCTAATCAATGGAAACTTTTGCATTAAATCATCAATTTATTAATAAATCAAATTAATGTAAACAGTTTACATTGGGAAGAAATATTTCGAGATAATTAAATAATGTAAATGCTGGATATTAATCTCTAAATCACAGCTAGCATTCTCTATCATTTTCTTTATTCACTCTTTGTTATTAATAAAGATTGAAATCTGAATAATATCGCGGTGCTTATATTCCACATACACACAGTAAAAGTGATCTTTACGTTTGTTTCATCTTTATAAAAATACAAAATTTGCGGTATTGATTGCAATACCTGTCCATTTCAGTTTTGACAAGTAACGAAAACTCGAGGCGTATTGTATAAATACACGTATCATATATATTGTTAAAAATAATTATTTCAAAATAACTTCGATCGAATATCTTATCTGTCGTTTTGATATTCATATATATATATGTATATATTGAATATATACATATATTATACATAATATCATATATAATATATATTATTGTATATATATATATTATATACATATATATATTATATACAACATACATTGTTTATATATATATATAGATATATATAGGATTCCCTTAAGCCTACATCGAGCTGCGATAACGTAATTTGTCAAAAAATGATCCCTTACCCCGGATCTACAATAGGTGTTTTAAACCGTACGAAATTAATTAATTACAGTCGAATTCGAGGAGAATAATCGATTATGATTCGTCCATTTCTTATGGCTAAGGCTTAAAACTGTATTTTGTAGATCCGGGGTTAAAGACTAAGGGAATCCTATAATCGTTTGTTTTATCGATAAGTCTAATTCTAAGAATTCAATAGTGTTTGTTCATATAAAGTAAGTATATTTATGGACTACTATTTCATTAATATATATTGTAAATTGTTTTTATATCGAGGATTCGTTCACAATGTTGACAGCTCATACCCAGACAGCACAGAATATTTATAATAAATATTTATTAGTATTTACACATCTTTGTGTCGTCGTTTTTATAGACTAAATAAAACATAATACTTATAAAATAATTTATATTTACAAATACTTTGTACATATATTTTATAAATATTACTTATTTATTGTATATAAATATTACTTATTTTAAAAATACTTTGTAACTATTTTATAAATATTATGTGTGTGTGTATCTAGGTAGACGCCATATTGGACTAATAACGAATATATAAGTAATGTGTAGTAACGCAGATTATCAATTTTTAAATCTTCTTCTTGGTGTAAATTCTACCTTACGTAGATTATAAGATATTTTAATGTGTATATACTTTAATTTTGGAAAAGAATTTTCAAATCTATAAAAAATGAAAACGAATTGCGACACAAAAATTATTCCGTTTAATCGGTAAAACAGACAATTACGATCCTATTCGATACTTTTTGACTACAATTAAATTGAAATTTTGAAAACAAATAAATTGAAGATTTCAAGAACTCTTTTATACATATAATAATAATTGATATGTTAAACAGGGCGAATAAGAGTCAAATTACAATTTAAAATCTAAATCTGATAATTTATTCTAATATTATATATTGCGAAGAATATTGAAATTTTGAACTTTCTCTATAGCTCGCCTAGTTTAAACATTTTAACGCAGGAAGTTTGTGTATCTGTATGTTGTGTTATATTCGCGATACATATTATTAGGTACTCTTTTCTTTTGACTGAAGCACGTATGCAAAATATACCTATCATTCAACTATAGGCAATTTCACTTTTATTAATGCTCCGATTGAGCGATATGTAAAAAGAAGGATAATTTATCGATACATTGATGGCCGCATATATTGCACGTGTAAGGATCATCAAAGTTGTGACAACCCATGTGTACGGCGTACATGATGACGTTGCCGAATACAATCTCACAGTAGTGGCAAGTGAGTTTAACATCAAATAAATCGATTTTGTTCTTACTATCCTTGACTTGCTGGCTTACTTTGTAAAAATCATCCGATGGAGATTTATCATTAGAAGATACATCTTTGTTTTGTTCTAACTTCTTATTTACGTTATCTAAACGACGTTCCAGTTTTATCGCTTTACCTTTACGTTTGTTAGTACCTGAGAGTACTTTTGATGATGTATCAGTTAATGCCTGAAACTGAATGTGATTTTTTTTAATCGCGTCGATTATGCGAAGATCCAATGGTATATCTATAGATTCAGTTCTGCAACACTCTAACTGGGATTTTACTGCCACGAATGTCGAGGATTCGCTAATAGCTTTTACGTTATCAGAAATATTGGATTCGCCGATGTTATTGTTACAATTACTAATTGTGTCGAAATGAGATAAATTCTGAACAATCATCTCCGGCATTTTATCAGCATTCCAAATTGTCGACATCTTTGTATACTCCGTTAATGTAGCGTTGGACTGTGCGTGATCCGTTTTCTGCACATTTTCATCTGCTAATGTCGCATCTTCGCGAAGCAGAACGTGATTCGAAAGATTGAACGCGGCGACCAAATCGCTATAAGGAAACATAGTGACAGATTGATTCTTATTCATATCATGATTTATCCAATGCCCATTGCTTATTCCACAGTTTGTCGCAGTTTGAGTTAAATAACGAGCAATCGACGAATAAAGTGACAAAGGTGCAGGAGAAGTCACTATTGAATCGAGGCGATTGCTTGTGTTGTTTGTTGCGACAGTGTTTTTTGATATCTTCTCATGGTTTTTAGCAGATGATTTCTGCTTGGGTCCTCGTTTAGTACCGTAGACGTCGATAATAGACAGTGGATTCGGTGAGCCGTCAGCGTTCAAAACCATTGCCGGCTGATGCTCCTTCTTTCGTAAATGTTTTTTCAACGCGTTACAGAATTTGGTCTTGTACTTACAATCCGCGCATCTGTATGGATAGATATTCGAGTGCTTTTTCAGGTGGCTAGTCAACATCGATTTGCTTACGCATGTGTACAAACACTTTCTGCACTTAAAGGGCTTGGAGCCGTCGTGAACGCTAAGCCAGTGATGGTTCATGTGATGTTTGTACTTGGTAACAAAGGAGCACTCAGAGCATGTAAAGCCTTTGATGTGGCAACGCATGTGCTCCCAATATTCCATCTTCGTACTAGCTATGAAATTGCACTGTTTACAATTTTTAGCCCCTCGGAAACTTCTGTTTTGTTTGCCCATGTTACTTTGTAAATTCACGCAGGAAATACGAAGAGAAGATTTGTCAGTCTCTTCTGTCTCATGTTTATATTTCGCCAATGTAAAAGAAGAATTGTTATCATCTTGATTTAAGGAGGATTTAAGAATTGGCAAATGCGCAAAGACGGCTTTAAGACTGGAATTGTTGCACTTTGACGTGTAATGGACAATTAGGTGCTCGGTGAACTCTGACCTAGAAATTAATGAATTTAGCGCTTTTTTTAAATATTCGTCTTTAAATTTTACTGACTTAACATTATTTGATATTATATGGTAGTTGAATATGTTACATACATAGATAAAGGTTACACGTACATTCAAAATAACCGCATATACATATACGGCAATTTAAACAAATTATATATACACTCACAGGAAAAAAAGTCGACCACTAAACTTTTAGCAAATATTTTTAATATATTTGAATAGCGCGGTAACGCAACGAAAAATCCTCTCGTATCAAGATTTTTAAAAAAGCATTTTAAAACTTGAAATCTCTACTTTTCAAACCGGTACTTCAAAAAATTGGTCTTACTTCGATATTTCGTGAAGCTACACAAACACAAACGAAAGTGCGTCAAACCTCAAAATTTTTCACTTATTCGAAAGATGTAAACCGCATTTGTGCACAATTTTAGTTCGCGTTGTGGAACTTCTCAAATTTTGTATAATAAAAAATTTTGAGGTTAGACACATTTTCACTTTATGTTTGTATAAATTCACAAAATATCAGTGTAATACTGTTTTTCGAAATAACGGTACGAACAGTAAAGATTTCAAGTTTTAAAATGCTTTTTTAAAAATCTCGATATGATTTTTCGGTGAGTTCCCGCTATTCAAAGATATCTATGGTATATGCTCGCCTACATTATATGTACAATACCCAGCAAATAAGAATGAATTAAAATGGATTGGACATTTTGTCCTATTCAAATGTGTATTTGAAACAGCGAAAACTATTTTTTTGAGAAATCAATTGGATTCAATTGGATGCAATTGTATTGAAAAACTGCGTTCCCTATTCAAAATTTTGAATTGAACAGTATTCACGATGACTGAAAAAGCTGATATTATTTTTAGATTGAAAGGCATACAGATATGCTCCGTACAATTCCTATAAATGAATAAAAATGTATTCAGGATTGAAAAGGATTCATTTTAACATTCAAGAATCCGCGCGCGCGCGTATTTCTGTAAATCTGAATCCATTTTTTAATCCATTTCAATCCATTTACGTTTGCTGGGATATATTAATGATGTGTAATAGGGCGAATGAGAGTTCAACGTGATAATAAGTACATAATGAAATCGCTTGAAATTTCTTTTATTTTTTCTTCTTCATAAATTGAGTATATTTTACTTTTAGGAGTTATAGGTATACTTGATTGAATATATGGATTATATCACACATCGTTACTTCTAGAACACTGCGAGAGTCCGTAATCATTAATCAAGATTAGATTATCTAATCAGTTATAAAATATACCTATGATGTTCATAATTAGAAGATTAAGGGTAGAGCGTACCTGTTTGATGTAGCGAATATACATAACGGACACTGCAGAATGTTTTGTATGGAATTAATACTTTCGTTGGGTAATGAAACAATATTTGACATGATGCTCGACGATCGATCGAGTTTGAGACTCATTCATAATATTTGGATACCGCATAAATAATTCTTGGATAAATTAAAGTTTTTTTTAATAAGTTGCACTCGACTATACTTGGTAGTAAGTATAAGTTACAATTTGCCTTAAAAAAAAACCATCAATCACTTCTCGACAGATTGGTGGAATAATGATCGGAAGAAACATCAAACTCGAAGAAACTGCTCTCGTTCTTCAACTTTTTTCTGTAAAGATATAAAATCAAAGTATTTTTGTATAAAGATTAGTGTTAAGAGATGTGTCAATATCGAAATATTTGGTGTATGATAAATAATTTAATAAATCAAATGATAAAAATATATCCAAAATATAAATTAAATATTGAAGAATTTGTGGAGCAATTAATCCTTTCTTTTCATCTATTTAAAGCATGTAACATGCAAATATGTTTTATCAAAATAAATTGTATGGTATACGTGGGATTATAATATTATATCTACATATATCTGAGAATACAATTTATCTAATTAGATGAAAAAGAAATTCTCAAAACTTTCTAAAATTGTTTTACTTTTATATGTATATACTGTACATTTATTATTTCAAATAGTTTTAAATGTGTAAAAGCTTTATCTAGTTATACAATTTTACATTATACAATTTTATTATTTCATTTGAAAACTTATACTTCATCTTTACGTTTCACTTGTGATAATATTATTGTCATATAATTAAAAATATAACTGCACCATAACTGTACTTGTATAATAAAAATCGAGATTTAATTGAAAAGGAGGCTTACGCGGATTTCTCATCATGATTTTATTTATTTGGATTTTATCTACTTAGGCAAGCATGGTTTTCGGACAGCAAAGACATTATTGATCCTCGCTAACAATGATTCATTGCTGTTTGTTGATGTGTATGATATGCAAAACATATGCTTTGTTCTTTTTATTTTGTTAAAATAAAATAAATCAGTAAATTACATATCCACGTAATTTTTATTGTACATTAAACGAGATAAAGAATTTTAAGGTATATATATATATATATATATATATATATATATATATAGTAATATGAGAGAAAGAAGAGGAAAAATGAGATAAAGAGAGGTATCATGACATCTTTCATTTTAATTGCATAGAAAGATTACATAGAAAAATTTGTAAGAAAGATTTTGTGAATACGACATTAATAAATAAACTAAAATTAAAATTACTAGTTTTCATTTACAACTTTACAATATTACTCACTTAAAAGTACTATTCTGTTAAAACAATTATAATCCTATATATAAACAAAAATTTGAATGTATTTCTTAGAAAAATGTTATCTTCACTAAATACATATTATTCGAATATTATAAAATAATATTTGACAAAATTAATTTAAAAAATAATTAGAAATTTTATTTTACTTTTATTCTTAATATTGCTTTTCAGTTAAAATGCTTTTCAGTTTAATGTTATATAATTATATTTTAAAGTATTATTATACAACATTGATTGGTATCAAATCGAATTAATAAAATGTTTTTGATAATTTTCTATGTCCGCAAACTAAATAAGTGGTTCCAATAATGCACAAGGATCAAAACAGCGTATTTCGAAGAAGGTATATTAAATCAGGAAAAAAATTCAAAACCACAGTCAAGTTACAAATATAGCTTCGAAAACAAAATTCCTCGCTCTTGTTTTTATAGACAGTTATTTCAAATTTGCAAAGAATACTATACTTTCTTATCTCTTAAATCATTCAAAATTTCTTTTCGCAAAGATAGTTTCAGAATAATATTTGAGAAAACTTTCAATTCAGTAAATTAAAGGAATAGCGCATCCGATTGTAGAACAAATATTAATCAATTTGATTAAATAAAATTTAAAAGATAATCAAATATTATTAAAAACTTGTTATAAAGAAAGATTCCCTTGTAGAGATCAGTTTACGGATCAAAAGAAATAAAGAATAATTATTCAATCAAACCTGATGTATTTTAATTGTCCTCCGGTTCCAGTTAGAGATTCCTTCGATGAGAATACAGAACAGTTAAAACTATATAGCAAAAAATCAATAGAGTATAAATATAAAATTTGTTTTACCACGTGTTATCTTTATATATACACTAACATAAATTTCAAGACTAATATAAATTTTAATATCTAAAAGAACGATAAATGAACTCGACGTTGTAAGTTCCAAAATGAAATAGCTACTAATTCCTGGGTTTTGTCGATGGGATGTGTTATCTTCCCTCTCTCATCTAATAATAACTATCCAATCACAACTGTCGATTAGCTTAATAAACGATTTGGCAAACTCTGCTTCCTTTTCTCCCTGCACCTTCTCTTCATTCACTCATTTTCTCTCCTTCGAGCGATGTCTGACGGCAAATAAGTATTTTGTCAAAAAATTGCTTACTGTTGATACATTTGCTAAACAAATTTAATATTTGGTTTTTAATTGAAATAATTCTTTATTGTTTCGGAAACTATTTTTAAAATTAATGTATAAAATCGTCAATTGATTATATACGTCAATCCTTTCAAGGATTAAATTTATATAAGTACGTATATAATATTGTAAATAAAAAATAAAAGTACAAGAATAAATAAAAATTATTTTTTTATTTTAAGGAAAGAGTGTCATCCTCTGATTTATTTTTACACTTTTCTTTTGAAGATCTTTGTTTTATTAAATAAATCTTACAAATATTAATATTCATTTTACTTTTTTAATATACATATATCTCATCCTGACTCTTGAGAATGTTCGATAACAATTGAAAAAAAAGAATTTAATAACTCTAACGATTCTAAATTTTGTACCAAATCTTATATTTTCTGAAATACGTGTATTAAAATAAGCCGTATGTCAATGTATTTTAACACACACATGCACACAATATTAATAATATTATCCCGCATTTTTTGGAGAAACATTAGACCAATTGTCATTGAGGTATGAGTACCGTAACAGAAGTATCAATGTGATTAATATTTACTTTCCTTATAAAACAAAAATAATGTGATACAGATAAGTAATAGTATATTCTTTTTTTGAATTATCGATAGAAAAAGACTTTTCAATCTTTTCAAATATTGAAACTTTATGGCCAGTATTTATAGTCAGTTTTTATATGTATAATAAAATATTCAAACCGTCTTATGCCAGTTGCACACCAGCGCGATGTTTCTCGCGCGCGACGCGCGATATCCAATTGATAAGCGTACAGTTTTACTGATGTTCTCATTCTAAAGCTAGACGTTCATTGGATATCGCGTGTCGCGTGCGACGAACATCGCGCTAGATGCAGCTGGCATTAGGTTCAATCTTGAGGTGTTACGAATCAATCAAAAGGCCGCATTAACGTCTTAAGACATTATACCACAGTATAACCAGTAACGACAGTAGTTAAAATTCCAGGGTATAAAATTTCAATGCGCATGTGCAAGAAATCCAACTGACGATATGGCGGCTTGGCGGCTTGCTCGCCAATTACGAATCATAACGTTCAATAAGGTCAAAGTAACCCACAATATTATTGTATAATAAAGAAGTAGAAAAGGAATATAAAGGTATCCTCTATATCACCGTTTTTGTTTTATAATTGGGAAGGGCGCAAAGAGCCAGTTCTGCGTAGGCATTATAAAACGCAAAAATAATAAAAGGGAAATATTAAAATGGGTGGATATAGTTGCGCTGTAAAAGATTGTAAAAATGTGACAGGTACTAAGGGAGTTAGTTTTTTTAGATTTCCAAAAGATCCGAAAGGTAAAATTTACTAATCACACACACACACACACACACACACACACTCGCACATATGTTAAAAAAAAATAGTAATTTGGATACGTTTTCCCTTTAGAGCTAAATTATGGTTGCAATTTTGTAATAGATGTATAGAAACAACTTTAGAAAAGTTAAATAATAATTATAGAATTTGTAGTGAACATTTCACACCATCAATGTTTTTAAATAATTTAAGAAATAGGCTTCAATCACATATGCAATTCCAACAATAAATTTGTCAATAAATGTGGAATCCTTATCAGTAAATATGGAAGGTAAAAATTATATATTCTGTTTTGTTTAAATCTGTACTAAATTTATAGAGCACTTTATTACATACTTTTATTAATAAATTTTCATATTTAAAATGATAAATGTTATAAATGTAAATATTTATTTTAACTTTATTTCTGAATTGTAATTTTATATTTATATTATACACTTCTTAATAAGTTTCTTTTTTATTATCAAATTCAATTGAAATATAACTAATTCACATTGACTATTTATTATTAACATATTAATAATTTTACTAATTATTTAACTTAGTGATATTACTGCGGTAGTGAATATGTATGCGTCAATGCTGAAAATCTATCAGCGTCGCGGGGGGGACTACATACGCAGTATATTAAAATTTCACACAATTATTATAAGCACGTTGATCTAGCTTCGACCGTTATAGGCTTCTTCTTCTAGTTTATTATTGTTTATCAATTACGGTCATAGAAATATTTAATATATTTACTAATTATGTAATGAACTTTTAATGCTTTTTTCTTTTTTAACCTGTTCTATTGTTTTATTAAATATAAAAAATATTGAAACTGATTCTTCAAATAAAATAACTTCAGCTGATGTTAATGCTACTATGGAATTACCAGAAATAAATATAAATGCAATAAATGTAAATGAGCCAAGTGCATCTAAAACACATAAATATTTAGGAAAAGAAATGATAAATATTGACAAAGGTAAATAATAAAAATATTCACTCTATTTAACTTTTTAATTCTTAAATTTTTTTATTATTTCTAGAAGATAAAATAAAAAATGTTGAACTTAAGGATATCGAAATTATGGGTATAGTTATGGAGATTAAGTTTGCGCAAACCGAATCGAAATTATCCTATAATACTCCAAGAAAAAAGAAGTTAAGATGCAAAAACATTTATCTTCAGAAGAAATAAACTAGACTAGAAAAAAAGATTGAATTTATGAAATTAAAACAAAAAAATTTATAATT